TTTCTCTGATTTTTTTATTATCTCAACATTATCTTGCGAATAGCTGATTTTTGTGTCAATGATTGAAGTCATCCGCAGCTAATGTCCTGGAATCCAAATGGAATAACGGGTCAAGTGTATTGTCGTACATTTACATTTACATGGTTCGGAACTTTAACAAATTTAATGAAAATTGGAAATAAAATTGATTTTGATATTGATCTTTGGTTCACACCAACTAGGCTACTTTCTTTCTCCATATATACAAATTGTTTTCTTTTCTTTGCATAATTTTCGAACCGACTGAAAACTTTTCTAATTCATACACGGTATGAAATTTCTAGAAGAATGTTATGATCAAAGGAATCAAATGCCGTTTTCAACTCAACTGACAAGTCCAGTTCCATTTGAAAATTGATTGACATCCAAAACTGCTGCCTCATTAACTCTCTTCAAAACTAAATTTTCTGAACAGTTTAATTTGAAAGAAAAAATAATAACCAATGTTTTTTATCTTGAATATCACTTGATCCCGCAGATAATGTACAGGGCATCTTTCAAAGATTTTCTTGAAACTCTTCTATAGATGTAACTTTTCTTCGAATCAAACGAACATAACTATAAATCGGTCGCTTTACTATCAGTGATGCATAAAATCATGAAGAAAGCCATAAACCATCATATACTTGAATATTTCGAAGGCTTTAACATCTTCAGCGATCATCAATATGGAGTTCAGAAACAAAAATCAACAGACGACTATCTATCGTATGTCACCCATATTTGGAATAAGGCAATCGAAAAACATGGAGAGTCAAGAGCTGTTGCGCTTGATATTTTTGAAGCCTTTGACTGTGTGTGGCCTGAGGTTTTGCTGTACAAACTTCGATGCTATGGCTTGTTGCATCATTTTTGTATATAGCTCTCCAGCTTCCTAAAAGAACGTTCCCTGCAAGTTGCAGTCGATGGATTTATCTTGAATACTTTTACCATCAACGCTGGTGTTACCCACAGGGATTTATATTGTCTCCCATCGTTTTTTATTATACATCAACGACTTATTGACAAAAAAACGAGAATTTAATATATTGTTTCGCTGACGACAGTACACTTGACTCGTTATTCCATTTGGAATCCAGGACATCAGCTGCGGATGACTTCAATCATTTTAATACCAGTTTCAAACGATTCTTATTATCTTCAAACTATTAACGATCCAATAGCTACCTACCTATCACAAATCTATAAATAGTCATTATATTTCAAGATAATTAAAAATCCTTTTTGTTTATTACTTTGCGTACTAGGCGACATTTTTGAGGTTGAGTGGAAGAGCAATTGAATGATGACTTGTCATCTTGTAAATTGAACTTCGCATTTTATCTTCATATGCTAAATGAACTGTTCCTGATTAATTTGCTTTAAATGTATTAGAATATAATAAAGACGATATTATTATTATCACCGTAGTGTGCGCTGGTCAGGCCCTATCTCCCGAAGCCCTGATACATTCGGGAGGGGGCGCCAGCATTATCAACCAATGACCACTCCCCACACCGTGGGGTAAGTGATCATTGGGTCCGAGAATCATGTGCGCTGAGCAAGCGCAATGAGCCAAGAATGACGGCATTCTGCATCTGTGCGGCTAAGATTTCTGCCTTAGTGCGGCAAGCCGGTATGATTTTAAGATTCGAGAGTAGAAAGGACATCATTCCACCAAGGACTCCAATAATCAGAACAACCATCTTGACAGAGTGATCTGGATAGAGTCTGCTGAGTTCGAAAATCTCGATATTTTATCCGTTATAATAAATTATTCGTCAATGTAATTATTGTAATGAATTTTATAAGATCACAGTTAATCGGTATCATTTCACAAGAAGTTCCTGTAAACAATCAAGCTAAATTAGAATGAAAATGACTCACTAATCAGTTCGTATGACTAATCTATATAATGACTGAATTTATTAATTTTAATGTTTCCTGGTATTTTCCTGAATGAAATACATCCAACTCGAATGGAATATTTTTCAAAATCTCATCACGATTCAGTTTGTATGAATAAAGTTGAATTGAATGAAGCTATTAGAATAACTCAATTAAGGTTTTTACGAGAGTAAAATTGAATTTATCATTGAATACAATGTGTCAAGAAAATAACAAATAGTGTTTACATTCGTATTAAAATATTGCATGAATGTTCGGGTAGGTTGGTTTATGTCAGGTTATTATGATTTTACAAGGCGAGTATTTTCTGAACTTTGATATTGGTAACACTTTTTGGTTGGTTAACCTTGATGATATAATAAGATGGGATGAAGAATATGTTCTTTGAAATGCTATTTTAGATATAAAGAAGTAAAAAATATTGAATGACGATGATAATCATGTACTTTACTGGTGTGTGATTGTAGAAATACAGTTTTCTGTTCCAAACTTCACATATATTTCGAATTGAAGACGTTTCGCCCCTGGTCAGGAGCATTTTCAATTATATGTTTTACACATATGATTTGTAATCTGAGCAGAAACTCGAGAATTATAATACTGTAGCATCTTTGCATTATTTGTGAAAACCATTACAATAATTTTTTTGTCAGCATGTCTCGTTAAAATATTGATTGAATATGGACGTTTTTTTGTAGTACGTTCATCAAAATATGAAAAGAGGCAAAAATCATCCGAGCTAAGAATTGACGAGGTCTCATCTTTCAACGTGCGATTTCTAGAACAGGTTGTACGATACACAGTGAAAATTGATCGTTCAGCCGTAGAGCTCCACGACTTTCTATATCGATGGAATCATTGCCGCAAGATGGCAGTGCAAAACTCAAGGAAAACAAGGAAAATGTAAAAATGATATTAATTATTGAAATTTCAGTAACATATTAATATTGTTATTTTTACAATGCACATTGTAAAAGTATTGTTGTGAACAATCCATTTCGCTACATCAATAGTCAAAGATGAAGCACTTTTCAGTAATAATCATATTATATTTGCATGAGGTAGGTAGAGGATTTGTCGAAGAAAAAAGTTTTTCCCTTTTTACTTAAAAATTTTTTCACTGAAAACGTTTCCTGAAGAAGAAAGATTATTTCTGGTATCTCCAACAAATGGCGTCTATAAATTGTGTATGTGAAGTAGGTCAGGAACCTTTGAGGTGATGGAACTCTTTTTCAACTTATTTCTCAGAAAATGCCTCTTTTATCAAGAATATAATAGATTGAATGATTGCTAATAAATACACATACATACACTCATTTTTATCGAAGTGTACAGTACACGATGAACTCACAAATTTTCTGATTGATTTTCCAATTCTGAGTATGTTTCATCTCTTTGCTTGTTTTGAATCTTAGGAAAAGCTTTGCACGAACATATTGTCTGGTATATCATTATCAAACTAGCTTACTATTGCTATGAAGAGCTCAATTTTGAATTTCTGTAGAATATTAACACAGATAAATTAACGACAAATAATTGAATGTTTGTGAATGCGTATCTTCGTAATTTGGTTTTTATTTATGTTTAATACATATGTAAATTACGATTACCCTTTGAGGTAACACTATGATTGAAGTGATCGTAAACGTACAGATTTGTATTACTTGATTGTTCAGCATTAATTGAGTTCAATTATTTCCTGTCATTAAATCATACTGATAGTTATTACGGACATACATACAGAGTGAAAAAATATGAATTGGCTTGAATTTCACATTGAGATATTATTATATTAATATAAGGGAGGCGCCTAAGTTGTACAGTGTCATCCCCATGTCTTAATATTCAATAATATCAAATCACAAACATCAAAATAAAATAAGTATTTTGGAAAAACTCATTGATTTTCTGGAGATTATTTTGAAGAATTATTTTTTACAAGAAAATATCCACATAATCAACTAGTTTGTTCCAAAATACCTAAGATGTTTTGTGATTTGATATTATTGAATATTAAGTTCTCGTTACAGTACTGTATAATTTTGAGTAATTTTCGGTGTTAACAAAAAATAAAAATAACTTTGCACAAAAAACTTTGAAAATTATTTTACTTTTCAAAAAAATTGACCGTGGTTAACACCATAGTTGTGTAATTTATAATATTACAGGCTTTTAAAATGAACCGTCTTATACAGAATGCTATCTATTTATCGTTTTAGCAAATTTTTTTTCGTAGTTGCCCATTTGAAAAAAAATTGGTAAAAAATAAAACTTCGCTTAGATAGCCATGACTTCAAATTTTGTTGTATTTTTCAATGCTGAACAACTTTTTTGAATTACATTTCCCGAAATTTTTCAAAATAAGAGTATTTTACTCTTGTCTCAAAATCAAATATTTGAAGGTTCCTCTTATATTACGTGTGTTTTACTGTATTTTGTTGGTGCATGTTTAGTTTCAGGAGATGCACAAACTTTTATCAGAAATAACTTTTTGTCGAAAAACTCTTAATAAAGAAGTTTCCCATACTTTGGGGATGACACTGTATATGAGATACTAGTACTCTTAATTTGACTAGAACCATAAAAAATTGTTTCTTTGGTATTGTTACAACTTTTTTGAATAAAATTTTTCAATAATGTCGAATATAGGGATAGTTTACTCTTGATCAAAATTTCTACTTTTGGTTCTCCCTTGTACACAGTGCGGAAATTAAGAATTTTGACAACTCAAATCCAAGTTTCCCGCAATGTATCAATTTTTATCATAAATAAAATTTTCTGACAAATGGATAATAAAAAAGTTTCCAATATGGTGCAAACTTTTTGAAACTCACTGTGTACGTTACCATGCAAAGCCTAATAATATAACACTGATTTCAATAAAACAATGGGAACTTGATTTTTCACAAAACTGTGTGCAGATTCGTGCGAAAATATCTGAGTGTAATTTAAAACAGAATTTCAACTGTATTTTGTTTTCTGATGGAGTGAAAACTTCAGTAAAATACCTCCTCTTTTTAGATAGTTCACCCAATTATCTTCGATTTATGATTAGAAAGATGATCAGAACTCACCATTGACTTGAGTCTGCCACACTGCATCTCCAACTCCCCATAGCCCTGCGGCTACGAAGAACTTGAAGGGAGTATCGGGGTGCGGCCTCCAAAGCAACATCCATATCTGCAGTCCAGTATGTACTAGCACACCTAGACCCATGATGGGTGCCCTTCCGATGTATTTCATGATTGATCCGAATAAGAGACTGCAGACAGCGTTGACGCATCCGAAACATATCATTACGTAGCCTACTGATGGAATACCCAAAGCACACGAAACGTAGGCTTGGGTGAAGTCTGCCCCGATGAAAGCTTGCTCCATGCCTATCCATACGGTAATGGGAATCAGAAGTTGCTGGTAAGGTTTCTTGAGCTGGTAGGCCGTGGCAGAGAGAAGCTGGATAGGGGTGAGTTCGACTGTGCTGTTTCTTCGACCTTGTTTTTCACCATACCTGTAATGGAATATTGAAGTGAAGAGTAACATAATTTTGAGTATTCAAAAATTTGTTAGCGAGATTATGAAATGTGAAAAATGCCTCAACACGCAAAAAAATATAACTTTACGTTATACGTCTTATAACATTCAATTCAGATGTATAACTTAGTTGATTCTCATCTAATTGTAGATAGAATATTTCTTCACACACTGTTTGACTAACAAAACAGCGATATGCAAAACATTGGAAAATGATTTTCGATTTGACAAATAATACCAATTTTTCTACTTTCAGAAAAATAATTAATATCAACTATGATAATAATAATAATTGAGTTTTTAATTGAATTTATAGAACTTTATAGAAGTTTTTCCTGTTTGTGGTTCGTTAAGAGCAAAGAATACTCCGACAGGAATAAAAAAGACCCAGTTTATATTGGGCTAGTCAAAAAGTTCAAGGAGTTTAAAAAAAAACAAGGAGTTTGTCTGAGGTCTGTCGTCCTCAGACAAACGCAAACTCTCAGAAGTTGAGAAACTTGTGCGAGCTAAGGACTAACGAGGTCTTACCTTTTAACGTGTGATGCCTAACACGGTTGCAGAATCATCCCAGCTTCAACCAGATAAATTCTCTCGAGAAAAATATCTGGTCGAGGCGGGAATCGAATCCACGGCCTTCCTATCGTGAATCGGGCGCACTACCACCGCGGACAATTCCGTCTGCAGATAGGAACACTGTCGTAAAAAAATTAACGCGTTGCGTACGTTTTATAAGAAAGAACTTTTGAAAGTTGAGAGTTCGGAGAAATCTGGGGCTGGTGCGGATGACATCTACAAACCTACTTTGTGGTATTTCGACCGTCTTCATTTCTTGAACGACCCGGACTCTGCAAGACCAAGTGAGTGACTTTTGACAAGAAATCGTTAAAATTTATTGTAGCGTGTAAACAGTGCTCTAATCTTTCGATTTGTTGGAGCGATATACTGTTAAATCAATTGTTACGATTTATCGTAGCGTGTGAAGCCCCCTTTACTTCTTCGCTTGATCTACACATCTTCGTATAAAATTACTTTTTTGAAATCGCTAGCTTTCTTGGAAGATTCCCACATTTTTTTTTGTATCAAGATGAAGAAGTAGAAAGCCAAAACCTTCCTTTCCCAAAATATTAACCTCTCCTAAAAGTATCCCCCTTTCAATGTCCATTATATTGCGTTTAATAACATCTCAAGTTTTGTTGCCCAACCCTAATATCTTCAGTGGCTGACCTTCAGTTGAGTATTAGTAATTTAAAAACCAGTTAGATAATGAAAAAAAGTAACCAACGTAAGACTTTGTTTATTTACTTCACTAACTGCTTAGATATTGTTCAAACAAACAAATTTTGTTGTTAAAAATCAGATGATTCAATGGCAATGAAACCCAGTATTAGTTGAATCAAATGTAATTATATTCCTACATTTCAAATGGAAAAAAGGTCAGAAGTTTGGTCGTGGAAGTTCGAATATTGAAGAGATTGGGCAGTGTGACGATCGAGGATGAGACATGAAAATCTAACCGAATTGCATTTACTTGTGAACAATGAATCTGATTCAGAATGAATCTGATACGAAACACTAAAAAATGCAGACCGCAAACACACGTATGTCTGGCTTATTGTTCGTCATCAGTACGGTAGAGCCAAGTGCAAAGATGAGCAACATTTGCTTGCATGAAAGAACACAGATGCACGGTGTCATCAACAGAAGCCTGTCGCACTTTGTGGTTTCAGCCAAATCCAACTCGAAGTGACCTGACCGACTTCTGTTGATGTTCCGGTTCCTGTTTAGTGAATATTTTTTTTAATACGATATGTATTTTCATCAAGTACCGGCTGATTCCATCAATAAAATCACTGTCTAATTGTCTGTGAGCTTGTGCGCGCAAATCTTTCGCGGTTTTCACAAATGTATTGCGGTTTTACTTTCCTTTTAGTGCTTAATTTGTGTCAATCGATTCATAAATAAAAACATTATACCAATTTGTAAAACCACACTCAAAATAAAAAAAAACGAAGATTGCTGCTAAACTTATTTCTAATTTCCGTGATTTGGAAAAAAGTATCTACAGAGTATAGTCTTTGGGAAAGAAAATTATGGGGGTGCCGTAAAACGTAGCTTTTTGAAAAATTAATAACTTATAATTTCAACCAGAAATTAACTTCTGTTCGATCAGTTTCGGAAAATAAATTTCACGAAAAAGTATCAGGAGAATGTCATCCATCGATGAATAAAATACCGGGTTGTCACAAAAAGCATTTTCTGAAAAATTTATTTCAGTCTTCATTTAAACATTTTTTTTTGGAAACGTACAATTTGAAAGGTTGATATTTTGGAGAGTATTTCAGGAAAGTAAATAATCTTTCGATGAGTGAAACACCAGGATGTCATAAAAACTACTGTCCTGAAAAACAAGTTTCAGCCATTATATAAAACAGATTTTTTTCATCAATGTTCTCATCGGTTTGGGAGATATTTTCAGGGAGGTGTCTAATAAATGAAGTGTTTAGATGAGCGAAATACTAAGTTGACGAGATATTATTAGGGGAGCCCAAGCGGGATTTCAGGATTTACTAAAGCGCGGCAGATTAAAATACAGGGGGATACCTTGTACCCGGTTAAGAACCTCCACCNTATCAAAAATCATCGAAGAAATAGGATCAGAGTAGAGTATAGGTATCTAATGAATGAAGTAATTCGATGAGAGAAATATTAAGTTGTCACAAAAATAGTTTTTCAAAAAGAGCATTCTAGGCTTCATTGAAATATTTTTTAAAAACATTCCATCGGTTAGAGAGGGTTGTATTTTCGGAAAAGTGACCAATGGATATTCTTTCTTCCTCATATGTTTTCAAGTGGAAGGATATTATTTTCAAGTGAGTATCTGAAAAACGGAATCTATCGACGAACAAAATACAAGGTGTCACAAGAAATAGTTTACTGGAAAATAAATTTCAATTCGAACTCCACGTGAATTGAATCGGGTGTAGTTCATAATTCATGAAGAGTTCTACAAGGATTGGAACCTAAATTGCAAACGTCGTTTATCAAATTTTTTCAGTTGCATAAGGAGTTTGTCAAAGAATAAACATTTTACGCAAGAATGAAATACTTTTATTTTTGAGAATATCGAAAATTGTTAATGGAAAAGTTTATTAGAATTTAAAACCACGTTGAAATAAGACTTCGGTCAATTTGCAATTTTTTGAAAGTCATCTTCACAATAACAATACATTTAAAAAAACGCGTTAGAATTTTTGGAATATTTATAAAATGGAAAAGTTAGTAAAAATAAAAATAAAACTGATTTTTCATCAATACTTCAATACAATTATACAGGTGAACGTTATTTTTGATTCTGATCAACTTTTGTTCATAACAATTTTTGATATCGTCAAAATGAAGGTACGGAGTGAAGAATACTGAAAATCAATTAATAATTGAAAGATATTTGTCAACGAAACAATGCCGGTATCAGGAACCGTGTCAACATTTTAGGAAAACTCAAGGATTCCTCGATTTCATATTGGAGGAAGGAGGATGTATCAGTATTTTTGACTCCACCACTTCCAAAAATGTTTGAATGGCCTAGGGTTCAAGTAAGATGTCGTTTTGAAACGCTTGGTACACATTTTATTTTTTCATTTCGAAAATTGAATTTGTTTAGGTGTTTATTCACTAATCAGTGGATTGAATAATCAACCTGATGAACACCTGCGCTAATACAATAATTACTATTTCGAATAAAAGAATTTCTGGATCGATTCGACAATACTCTGGAATAATTCTTGGAGGCAAATTTCCTTAAGACGCTGATACGATAATGGTTTTTCTTGATTGATTCTAAATGAGTAACGATTTAAAAACATCCTAATTATTATCAACTCATTTGTGGACACGAATGGACCAATTTCAATTAACTACAATAAAAACTGCCAATTATCGAGGTTAACGATGGGAGGCTACATTGTCAAACAGAAGAACTCACCAAAACGATATTAGTGACATGGATAAAATAGATATAATCATCGAGTAGAATAATGGGTACTACTGATATCATGTGGAAAAGAGCAATATTTTTTTCCTTTCTGTTCATGTGCGATAATTTGACACGAACGTCAAGTACCAAGGTCACTTTTTGACATATTCTTCGACTGTAATAGCTATTTTCCATGCATATTATATTCAGAACCGGCAACAAAAATTTGCAAATTTCGACGTAGCGAGTGAATGAACTGAAAAATGAAATAATAATATTGTCAGTGTCCACAAATGTTTCTGAGTCGGTACGTTAGTCTGAATATTTAACATCAATATCAGGTCGCTCACTCTATTCAAATTTCTCTTTCTCTTCGAGAAAAAAAATTATGTGAAACAGGCAATTCCGGGTAAGTTCAGCATTACCCTGTACAGTATATGAATATTCGTTTCTGATTTTGAGGTTTGAATACTCGTATCGTGATATTTGTTGTTAATTATCATATTATTTTGATTTGAGGAAATAAGCCATTGTATATTCCAAATTTTCAAGAGCAAGATTCAATTTCATATATTCACAGTGCCAATGTTCATGAAATTTCACTTTTACTCGAATCTTTCACGATATTTTCATAATTAAGAAACTAGGTCATGATATATTCGGAGAGTCGTAGTTGAAAAACAATATTTTGGCAATAAATTACCATAAATATTGTGGCCAACTTTCGAGTGTCAAGGCCACGATATCTGCTAATTAATTTAATATATTACGATCCATAACTGATAGTCGAAACATGTGTATTTTTGTCTTTCACTCCAGTTTTGGAACTTGTTGAGATATGAATCAATCTTGGGGCTGATTGCCTTGTTTCGATCACAACTTGGTAAATGCATTCATATTATGATTAGTGGAGGCAAATTGGGAAATGAAGACTTATGGAATCGACTGATTCCATTACAAATTTTATTAACTGTAAAAATTTCTGATGGTTTGGAAGATTTGCT